TTTTGTTGGCATCAGATTAAAGGTCACACGGTCACACTCTGCTCACAGATGGTTCTGTTTCTGCTTCTTGAGTATTATTTTGAGGTAACATTACTCTCTTACTTGAGTACTTGCTTTTTACTTTCACTTTACCATTGCGCAACCTTCTCCAGCCTCTTCTACCTAGCAACACGTGATCACGTGATCCCGGTTTTCTGATTGGTTCAAAAAATCTGACGTCATATTTGTGGATAGAACGCCCAGAAACAAACTCATAGAAAACAAACAAACAAACAAACTCATAGACAAACACAGAGACAGATCAAGTGTCTCTGGAGACTTTCTCACACTTTGATTTTGGACATGAAGTGGACATGAAGTTGTTTTGTGCTCGTGCTCGTGGGGACACTGCTACACGGAGCCGCAGCCAGTGAGTAAAACTGTTTTCGTGCTTCAACTTGTCCAACAAGAATCCACAATGTGTATTTTAGAAAACACAAATGGAGTTGTCATCGTGTTTAGTGCGTCCGTGTTCAGTTTAGTGTCACTTTCATCATGTTCTACGGGGTTTTGGCGCTAAAGTCCGGGACGGCGTCGGGTTTCGTGCACTCGTATTTGCGCAGTTAAAATAAAAATACTTTCAATTTGAGACGTGGAATAACAACAGTTTAAATTTAAAGGAACATGTAACATATTTGTTTATTAAAGTTAAATGAAACTAAAGTGCGTCATAAAAGGATAATGAGCTGTTAATCTAGTTCGACTCGTTCCGCAGGTCAATGTTTTGCATCTTAGGTTTAAACCACTTCAATTTCAAAACAGAATCATTTGGACTCTTGAAATATTTGACAAAACACAATATTTTGAAGTAATTATTTAGTTGTAGTGTAATAAAGTATTTGTGTTCTTTCTTGAGGATGGTTTAAATATTTTGGTTGTGTCCAGTGTGGTGGTTTTGTGCTCGTGTGTCTATATTGTGTGTAAATGTGTGTGTAGTTGTGTAACTGTTGTGCGTCTGAATCCTGCACTAATATCAGATATAACCAGAGGTGGATGAAGTACTCAGGTTTGTTACTTCAGTAAAAGTACAGATACAGGGGCACAGCATTACTCAAGTAAAAGTAAAAGTATCACGTGAAAAAAAAAATCCACTAAAAGTATTAAAGTACCTGTTTGAAATGTACTTTAAAGCTGCACTGTGTCACTTTTCGGTCGGTTTTACGGCTCAAAAATAGAAAACCAGACGTTGTGACTGTGAGCGGGGTCGCCTCTCCACAGATCTGACCCGTCACTCGGTCTGGTTTGGTCTCCATGGAGACAGAAAGGTTTAATGCCACACTGGAACATTCCAGACAAAACAACAACAACATCTCCACCAGAAAAGTGACACAATGCAGCTTTAAGTAAAAGTACAGATACAGACGCACAAGATACTCGAGTAAGAGTAAAATTAAAAGTATCACGTGAAAAATCTACTTAAGTAAAAGTATTAAAGTATCTGTTTAAAATGTACTTTAAGAGTAAAAAGTAAAAGTATTTGCAGAGATTTTTATAAAATTAAAGCATCAAATGTAGTGATTTTGATAAAGACTTTAGTTTATTTTAAATGTTTCAGTTGATTTTTTACATTTTCTTTCTGTTTTTGTGTTTGTTTGTTTGATATTTTCACTCAAATTAAATGTGTAAAAAAAACTCTCGAACCATAAAGAAAAATACTTTTTACTTTTCAGTCCAGATGTAAAATGTAGTGCAGTAGAAAGTACAGATACCTGCTCTCAAATGTACTGAAGTAAAAGTAAAAAGTCTCCACTGTAAAATGTACTGAAGTAAAATACAAATACTTAAAATACATGAATCATGAATTTCAGACTTCAGGTCATCACACAATTCACACTGGGAAGGATTTTCTGAAAAAGTGAGCATCAAACCTCCATGTTTGTTTTCCCAGTGGGATGTGTCTATTGACAAAGTCGATCTTTTCAAGTCTTTTGAACCATTTCACTTTTGTTTCTGGTTCTGATATTGTCATATTTTAGTTCTGGGATTCCGACATCGTTATTTGTGTGATTGTTGGATCCTAACAGCAGAAAACGACTCCAGAAACTAGTTTGTGAACTTCATAAATGCAAAAGTGAATCAGATGTGTGTGACTCAAACCTCTGTTCAAACTGTTTCTCTTCCCAACGGAATTGAAAAATAGTGAAAGGTGAAGGTGATGGGCAGGATTGATCCACAGGAAGAACCAAAAAGGAAACATTTGTCTGACTAAATGGGTGTTCAGGCCAGAGTGTCAGAACATCCAGTTTCTATGTAAAGTCGATGTGGACGCGCATCTAGGGCGTCCTGTGTTTTTGCGGCGCGTCTTGAGTGTTTTGGCATCGATGCTCTAGACGCGTGTCCAAGGCGTCAGCGTCAAGAAGTTGTGGAAAATGCTGAACTTTTTGCGTCAGAAGCACCATGTCAACCAATCAGGGACGAGTATCCAGAGACACAGCGACGTTATTATCAGGAAGAAAAAGAACGACCCGAGAACCAGAGCGAGAACCACAAACATGAGCAGAGAATAAATATATACACCACAATCATCGAGTGGATCACGAGGACTACACCAGAACCAGACTGGGACTAAACCAGGACTAGACCAGGACTGAATCAGTGTCTTTAGTGGAGTATATATATATATATATATATATTTACGCTGCAGTCGTCGACCTGATCTCCTCCGCTGATGTTTTATGTAATAACACACACAAGTCTCTCTCAGTCTGGTCTGACATTGTTTCGGGAAAAGACCAGGACCGGGCTCTTGTTTCCAGGGCAACGGACGCACGTCAAGTATTTTTCTCCCGTTCGTCACAGGCGTCAAAGACGCACGTCGGGGGCGTCTAAACTCAAAAACAAAGGCTCCAAATAGAAACGTCAAGGTGTTTTTTGACGCTTTGGTGTGAACGGCCCTTAAGAAATCATCCCGAGTTTACAGAGAACATTTTGTATGTGGAGCGACAACAAAACAAAATCCTGATCCCTCACTCAACCTCGGTTATGAATTTAAAAAGTCAACACCAAAGTGAAAGGCTCCAACTGTTCACCAAGAAACACCTTCCACTGCAAAGAGACCAAGACGTGATGTTTCTGTAAACCACAAGAACAAGAAGTGCAGCTCAGTCTGTTTGTCTTCTGCTCCTCTCCATTAACAAACGGGATTTTGTTTTGTTGTCGCTCCACATACAAAATGTTCTCTGTAAACTCGGGATGATTTCTTAGTCAGACAAATGTTTCCTTTTTGGTTCTTCCTGTGGATCAATCCTGCCCATCACCTTCACCTTTCACTATTTTTCAATTCCGTTGGGAAGAGAAAACAGTTTGAACAGAGGTTTTGAGTCACACACACATCTGATTCACTTTTGCATTTTATGAAGTTCACAAACACATTTCTGGAGTCGTTTTCCGCTGTTAGGATCCAACAACCACACAAATAATGATATCTGAAACCCAAAACTAAAATATGACAATATCAGAACCAGAAACAAAAGTGATATGGTTCAAAAGACTTGAAAAGATCGACTTTGTCAATAGACACGTCCCACTGGGAAAACAAACATGGAGGTTTGATGATCACTTTTCCACAGGATCTTTTTTAGTCTGAATTGTGTGATGACCTGAAGTCTGAAATTCATGATTCATGTATTTTACTGAAGTTTGTATTTTTACTTTTGTACTTTGTTTGTTTCCTCCACTGGATGTAACTGAAGTTCCCTGAGGTTTTTCTTTAAGGTCGTCGTGTTTCCTTTTGTTTTAATCTAAAACTCAGTGAAATGACAAAAACGTCAAATGTCAGTGCAGACAACACAGGCTTTTATCATTTCCATTTAACACCAAAAAGTGTCATTTCTCTTCCTCCAAAGTCTTGCGTCTGCTCCAAACCTCCTGTTTTTCCTGACAGAGGATTGGCTCTGGACGTCTCCATGAAAAAGACACAGTCTGATTATTGACGATTAGAAATGACTGAATATCGATTCGATTAATCGCACAGCCCTTTTTGTAACGGATCGTCCAGTTTGTTTTTGGAGGAAATGGCAGAAAATCAGAGGGAGGGTTTTCTGTATTATTGATAAACTCAACTCTTTAGTATTTGAATCTCCAAACTTTACACAGTTCATTCAAATTAAAGTTCTTCATGAGATTCACTAAAAACACAAGAGTCTGAACTTTTATTTACACTGAATTCTGAAATGATTCTTTTGTTTTCACAGAGGTTCACACTTATAGAGCTTTTGAGACGTCTTCAACTCAAGTCCCAAACTTCCCAGAGTTCATTGTAGTTGGATATGTGGACGACCTTCTGATTGATCACTACAACAGTGACACAAAGAAATGTGTCCCCAAACAGGAGTGGATGAATAAAATCACAGAGGAGGATCCTCAGTACTGGGAGAGAAACACTCAGATCAGTTTGGGGAATGAGCTGACGGGAAAAGGAAACATAGAAACTGTCAAACGACACCTGAACGTGACCGGAGGTTTGTGTCGTCTGAACTTTTCAGATTTGATCATTGAACATGTTTTTATGAATGAAACACATTTAGTGTGAAATATTTGTGGACAGTTTGTTTTTCTTGTCATGAAAGTAGGAGAAATGTAGTTTTGGTGTAAATCTTTGTGTGTGTTTGCAGCAGTGGAGTTTTGTTGCTCAGGGATCAGGTCTGTGTTACGTTCACTTGTTTTCCAGATTCTGTTCAGTCACTTTTTGTACTGAGCCCAAAATCACAACATCAGTTTCCTCCCAGAGCTTCACACAGCTGTAGATTTAACACAAACAACAAAGAAACAGACGAGAAAAGACAAAGCACATGACCAACTGAAGCTGTCAAATGTGAAGAACTGAACCATCACAGATGGAAATATTTCACTCCAAAATACAACTTGTCATTTATAAAAATGAAATAGAAACATAAATGTCCCTGAAGAAGTTTGAATATTTAAAAATGTCTTGTTTCTGTTTCAGATCTCCATATAAATCAGATGGATGTTTGGATGTGACTGGGACGATGAGACTAACGAGATCAGAGGATATTATCAATATGCTTTTGATGGAGAAGATTTTATTTCACTGGATTTTGAGACTGAAACTTTTGTGGCTCCAAAACAACAGGCCTTTATCACCAAACAGAAATGGGAGAGGATTGGAGAGGGAGTCAGAGTGAAAAACATGATCATTCATGAATGTGTTGAGTATCTGAAGAAATATGTTGTCCTGGGAGAGAGCGCTCTGAAGAGGACAGGTAACAGACGAGTTTAAAACACTAGAACAGATCATGACTCAAACTATTTATAATGTGTCGACTTGAATTCACTCAACAACAATAAAAACTAAACAGGGATTCAGGAGGATGGGAGGGCATCTGACACACAGATACAGGAGGATGGGAG